CTATAAATGACCGTTAAATGAAATGATGAACTTTTGAAGGATTTTGAAAACGGAAAAAATGATATTCATGCCGGCCCAGCATCATCAACATTGAAAAATACCCCGGCATGAAGTGGTTAACATTGTACAATGGAAGCTAGTCCTTACTTAAGGATAAACAATGAAAATGTTAACCATGTGGAGCTAAAGCCGGCCTTTTTCGGTGAATTTGGTACACATCCTGGTGGCACATAGAGTGCTCATGGTGTGCCATATATAAGTTCCAGGCAGGACCAAAAGAGGGCGCAATTCATTCTAGTAAAGGAGGCTCCTTTGGTGGGAAATACACTTTGCTGGTTCACGAACCACATGGAATGCATGCGCTGTAGTTGTGTTGCTACCAACAAAATGAACACTGCCCACCAACATGGCTCTTTTCAACCAATGAGGGGGTGCTTTTGCTCAGGGGAGATTTGGGGGTAATCTGTTTATGCCTGTCACTGAATGGCCTGTGCTAGACTCGCTGCTAGTAAGAAACATTTTGGTAACAAAATGCTATGCATGCTTCCAAAAGGTGCCCTCCTAACTGAACAGAAAAGTCCTTAGTTCTGGGACATTTTCCTGAATGCGGTGATTTGTTCAAAATGAGATATTTTTTGTTGACTTTAGCATCTCAGCAATCAACAGCCTCCAAGTCCCGCATCCCCCGAGCAGTCTCCAAAGACAGTCTTGCCAGCGCGGCCAGTGCCCGTTCTGCCTCCTGCACCAACCAAGACGGCAGCAAGATCCCACGACTGGCAGCCAAGCCTGCCGATCCCACCGCTGCCACCTATTCCCCTACAAAGGCCAAGGTCTCAACACCAGGAAGGGGTCGCTCAGTCAGCGATGTCTCGCCCTGGGATGACACGCCAACCCCTACCCCAAGAGAGGCCGCTCCTGCCGATAGCTTGGCTGGCACGCCCAGAGGGGGACCACACACACCTATGAGCAGTGCTGTCTCATTTGGAGAGGTATTCCCCCATCCTCCTGTATTCTTTATCAAATGAAACAAACTATGCATCCCTCGAGGTACTGTTCGGCTTACTCATGAAATCCAGTGTGACCGACACTGTATGGGTGTAGAGAATAGGTGACCAATTTTCATCGGAATGTGCACAAAACTGTGTGCATTTGTTTAAGGCTGGGGACTCATTGCAGTGATATTATGTATTGCTGTCATCGTAAAGGGAAGGAGTACATGGTTGAAGGAAGTAATAAGTAGGCTTTCCTCTAGATTTGCCTTTTTTTTGTTTTGTTAATAGGCATACTCAGCTATTTTTACCAGTGTTACAGGCATGCAACGCATCTGTGGATCTGCGGATTTCTGCATTTTTAACCACGACAAATTCCACCTTAGGCTTTGCCCGTGCTTTCACCACTTGCTTGCGCCTCAGATTGCGGTGCGGCAGACGCGCTGAGGCTGCACCGCCGCTCGGCAGAAACTCATATAATTGTGCTTCCATGCAGAAAAAAAGATTCAAATTGTCATCTGGTTCTGTGCTAGTGTATGAGAGGAAACTGTTAACTGAGCTGGACATCTGACTTCGTGGTTATCATAGCGCCCTCTATTCTGTTCTAGTTGATAGTCTGGCTCCATATCTTTTTCTCTACCGCCTTGCACGTCGCGACGTCAGGATACAGACTTTCTTCATGAGCCAGTCAACCAGATTCTTGTGGCTAACATTCGGAAGGCCAGAGAAAAATCAGTTGAGCATCTTGCTGAACAAAATGCCTCTGCCATGCATCTGCTTCCACATTCAAAACCCCAACAACTAACAGAAGAGCGCTGCGCGCTCGCAGTATCCTACTTGAGGGTTTTCCTCTTTTTTTGAAAACAAGAATTGCATGCCTGGTATTAGAAATGTTCCACCCAACTGAACAAGTAGCCATAGACATAGACAAAAGCCTACATATGAGTCTTACACTATATACCAGTAGCAACTGTCAACATTTTTCACCAACATGATATCTATTTTTTGTCAAGATGCTAAAGCCGAGTGATTTCAAAACAGAGCTCAGTTTGCTCTTTCTAATGCACACAAAAATATGTCAGGGAAAGAAATGGCCTCGAGACTTGTTTGTGGGATATAGCAACATTTAAGCATTGGTAGAATTTTTGATTGTATTTTTCAGTTAGACATTGGCGTACGTTTTTTGTTTCCTTCACTTTGTTTCTACAGTTTCAACTCTTTCACTTGTGCATGCAATGGAAATGCACATTCATATTGGTGTACCTGAGCCACTAGATTAAGCATTTATTCTCAATGTGGCACATTTATTTCAGAGTGGCAGTGAATGGGACGACGATGATGTGCTCGGGGCTCTGGAGGGAACATCTCCACAGAAAGTGACAAATGTAAGTAGTACTTGTCCCACTTTTGAATTTTTCTCTCAAATTTTCATGGTTGGTTCCATTCCATGTAAGTGGTTTCTTAGTGTCAATTGGACGCATTGGATTCACTCTTTATTCTTTATTCAAGTTAAAAACTTTGATGTGCCAGTTTCAGTAGTGAGGTGTTAAATACTTTCTTTTGTCATTGTCAGAAAATACTGGAGAAGAAACAACCGATCTTGGGTAAGTCCAAGTCCTTTATGGCTTTTCTGAAATCAGATCCATTAACCGAAGTTTTCAATTTACAGTGGTCTATGGATTGGTATACTAACGGTACATGTGATGCACTGTGAATACTGGATTTCTAGCCTGTGAGACATATTAAGTGTACACTGGTTGCCACATTTATCATTAATTTTGTGTGACCAATTTTCAAGTGAATGCGCACAAACGCCTGGCACATTGTGGCGATGTATTTCTAATATTTGGTTTCTGTCTTGGTCACCATTGAGGGAATTCTTTTGCATAGCATCCCCAGTCTCATCTGTGATTAGTCTTTTATCCAGTATTAAAGTACAAATCATTGTTGAGTTTTTGACCTTTGATCTATTAAACCTTAGCCTGGGATTTGCTTCAGGCTTTAGACAATTTTTACTTAGTCTATCCTGAGCAGCGTGTGTGTACTCTGAATATAATAAGCTTGGTACCAAATTTGTATTTATAAAGGACTAGCATGCTAGGGACTTTATTAAAGTTGAGTTTGTGAAAGTTGATATGTGTGATCACATGTGAATAATGCTGTTCACGTAATTCTGTTTCATATTTTTTCAGCAAAACCAAATGATCGGGTTGAGAAAAGGCCCCTTAGTTCACAAGACAAACAACAAAGAAAAGGTACATTGTTTTTAGACAAGTAATCTCAGGTTTTGTGATCAGTGTCAAGGCTTATTTTAAATTGAAAGTGGAAAGTTTTGAAAATAAATTTAAAGATAGAGTCAGCTTAAAACAAGAAAAGTTAAAAAGGTCCTAGGTTTAAGATAATGTATTCCCCATTGATTTTAAATTTCACATCATAAATGTGAAATAGGAATTTGAAATTTAATAATCTCTAAAGTTCTAATGACCTTGTCAGGAATAATTGATAGAAATGTTTTGTTTTGTTGTCTTCTGCAAGAGCTCATGTTATTCTGAAACAGATTAGGACTAAGTTTTACAACTTAAGTCCATCAACCCTAACCTGGGGATTTGGGGGTTTTGTGTACATGGATTTCTAGATGTTCTTAATCAGCTGGGGATGAGTGATATGGATGATGACGATGATGATTCCAGTGTTCACTTCACTGATGAGGAACCTAAGAAAGCCTTGTCAACCGTCAAACCAAGTCTTCAGGTACGTTGCGCCTGAGGCACATGTCCAAAGCATGCAGAATCAACGTTTTGGAAAGCAATGCAGCCTCGAGTGTTTTCTAATCTACAGAAGTGGCCTGGCGGCCTACCAAGTTGTGCTAGTCTCCCCCGATGTTTGACAGCTAGCCACCAGCTTCAAAAGTAAAGTCTGGTGCCACGTATTTGGAAGCTATGCTTGTGTTCTGGTATTGAACTTTAAAACAAAACTTTGGAACAAAACCTGTCTGTGCATATCTGTAATTGCTTCCAATCCCAAAGATGGAAAAGATGGCAAGAAATGCACTGGATTTTTGACAAGGGCCTTGTTCAAAATGAGCCATGAACTTCTTCCACTTTAGTTTTGTCAGCCCACACCAAGTTTCAATTTTACAACGTAGGGAACATTGAAGGGGTTGAGATGCACATATTATTCAAATGTGAATGCAAATATGACAAATTTTTATTGCACATGGGTGTGTGGGTGTCAAATGCCTGTTTGAATGTCAAGATTTGAGTCCCACACAAAATGCACATTTTCCAGTGAACACTCGAACAAAAGGACAAATGATAAATCGCATTGTAAATCTTTCCAAGGCGGTGTAATCATTAAGCCAGGCATGAAGAAATCACAGTTGCATAACTTTTGCACTTGCATAATTTGAAACCTTCTGAAACAGTTGCAGTTTCTCACGTTTTGACCCAACGTGAACGTCCCATGTTTCTTATATTGGACGTGTGTGAGAACTGCCTTTACATGACAGACAATATGCAGGAAGCGATAACGGCAGCAAAAGTCCACACTTTCTTCGCGTTTGCGTTCAAAATGGGCAGCTAAACCTCTCCACTGAGTTAGAGTGTTATCACAAATTGGCAGAGGAATTTTCCTCTTTATGTTTCTTGAATTGTAAGCAAATGATTGAGAACGAAAATGAATGGGAGGAAGCAAAGAAATCAAATCCTATTTTCAACACCGTTCATTTCGGATTGTAATAATGAATTTCATTTGCCTTTACCATTAGACATTAAAATTCATCAAGTCTAGTTTTAGAGTTAACATAAAGTGCCATGGTTGTAAAAATGTAATATCCCATCTTTATTCTCTGTGTGATGATTTTAGCCTAACCCCATCATCAGCGTCAAAGATAGCCCAGTTGTCTCAAAAACCGCCAAGACTGAAGCAGAAGCAGAGGAAGATGAAGGTGAGAAATTTTTTTTGAATTTCAAGATTGATGTTGCAACGTTTCTGGACTGCCTGCTCGTGTTTGCCGTGCTATCTTTTTTCCCTCCAATGTGTGGGATTAAATTACCCCTTTGAACAGTTCGGTCAGTTCTAAAAAAACATGATATTTAGTTTGAAAGCCAGGCCTAATTTTTCGGTGGTCATTGGAAAGAGAAGGTATCTTTTGGTTATGTTTGTGTGGTGGGTTTGAGTATCACTTTTCTACAAAATTCTTTAAACTTCAAAATCTTTTTACTTCAGTGTAAAGCCAAAAATTAGAAAGGTTCTGGGATCTCTAATGTAAACACAGATAAAAGGAAACAAGTTAAATGAGAGTTGTGTTTTTCAAATACTGATTGCAAGTTTCAATCCTGTAAGTATGTCTTGATAGATATGATTGGACTGATTTGGTTCACACTTTTCTTTCTTTCCTTGCATGCAAACAGAGTCAGACTGGGACTCAGATGTAAGTCTTCATTTCTTCCTCAATTCTGTTTGTGCTCTCTCAGGGTGGACTGTCTCCACACTGCATGTTATAGAAATTTTAGCTTGATTTTTTTGTTCACAGTATTCTTGCATTCTGATATTCTGTCCTGGAACAAATCAGTGGCCTATTCCTTATGTGTGATATTTCAAGGGGCATCAGGACCGTTATAAAAGTAAGAGTGATTAGATTGTACCTGCCTCAAACATACAAAGCTCTCCAAGGCCTCGTGGGTGATTGTGAAGACTCTAGCAGGGTTAGGGTTTGTTGTTGACTCAAACTGTTTAGGTGGAAGTTTCAAAACAGTTAACGGGTGTAAAGATGTACAGACTTTCCCCGAATAAGGTGTTCGTTTGGAGTGGGAAGTGAGCCCCAGCGGACATACCGTGTCATACCACTCAAGATGCTTGCAGTGATGACCCTGAATTGTGATGTTTTCTTGGTCTGATTGCAGGATGATTTGCTCCCTTCCCATGCCTCAAATGATAAAGGTGAGATTTCGTGTGTCATTTTGATTGAAAGTTAAGCTGAGAATGTTGAAATATGGATAATTCACTACAACCTACTTGTAGGTTCTACGTCTGAGAGGATTTCAAAGCCAGGGTCATTTTCCAGTGAAATGATGCACAAATATGGGAACTAGTATCAAAACTAAAAACAATGTAGTAGCTTTGTGAGTGGAAGTTTAAGAAAAAATTTATCAAGAATTGTTCGTTTTCATTTTTTAGAAGTTAGTTTTTATAGCACTCAGAATGCAAGATATTAGGAACTCATTATGTGCAATTAAAACATAGGATAGGACAGTATCACACTGCTTTTGCCGTGGGTGTCAACCAAAGATCGTATAGTGCCGCGTAGCAGCGCAAGATGGCGAACTTCACCGTAAATACACGTAAAACGTTGTAATCGCATAAGTGCCATTTGAGCAAGCGATATGCCTGCGCAATGCACATTAATGCACAGGCGCAGGTGCCGCAGCAGGCACGTGCATCTGGTGAGCCTGCACTTAAGCATTACCGTAAACCGCGCAGGCATATTGCTTGCTCAAATGGCTCCCATGGTAATTACATCTTTTGGGCAGAGTTATCCATCTTGCGCCTTTGGCGCTATACGATCTTTGGTGTCAACTAATGAGCATCAAGGACCATAGTAATGATGAGTAATAGTGAGTTATCTTGGGAAGTTACAGGGGTGCAGTTTATCTGTAATTTTGTTTCAGTTTGTGTTACAGTCATTTGCAAAAGTTTAGGACCACCCGTAGAAAATGCATTAACCTGAAGAAAACCAAACTTAAACTTAATCAAGCATGGCATCTTGTGTTTATTTTCAATGTGCCACCTTAGTGTTTCAATTAAACAGCTATTGGACTACATTTCCGTGATTTGAATGTTAAATCATCTAATATTTAGTGCACCCGTCTTTATTTCTGATTACTTACACTGGCCTTTTTTTACCCATGCTGCCTTACAGACAAACTGTCATACAAGACCTGTCTTTGCAAAAGATTTCATTCAACTGGATATATAGCATTGCACTGATGTTATGCACCACTGTAAAATCATGTTAAGTAATCATTCAGTGAGACAGTGTAATGCAGGCCCAGTGACAGAATACCAATAAAATTCCAGGTGGTCTTAAACTTTTGCCAATGACCAATGGACAAAAATGTTCCTCCAGGTTTCTTATAGGCTATTGATTTTACTTGGCGCAAGATTCTTTGAAGACCATTGACTCAAAAGTGGCTCTGGCAACTTGCGACTCATAGTAGGTTGGATAACGTGTATCACTGATCATTAATCAGCAGTGTAATGCACAGGTTGATATTCTGAGACATTTCCTCAAATACCTCTTGCAGACCCGCCAATCATAAGACCCGGTGATTCGGGCATCCACACCAACTCAGACAGTCTAACATCAAAGCCCAAACCCGCTTCCCCATCTGGGCCGCCGATCTCGCCCCGCGTCGAGCGGAAGTTACCTCCCACCCCTACCAAGGAGGCAACAGGGAGGGGTAGAGATCCAAGGGAGGTGGAGCAGGGTGGGGCCAGGATGCAGGTGCAGAAAGGCGAGGCTGAAGATGATGATGACAACTGGGATTCGGAAGCAGAGGACGAAGAAGAGGAGAGCGAATGGGAGAAGGCCAGGAAAGTGGGAAGGAGGGTGAGTTGATTTCTCTTGTCAGTCTGTAAAGTTTGTTTTACTCTAACTTTGGTTATACTGTCTGAAAATTGTGTAAAATGAATTTGAGTCATTGTATAGATATCTTTGACAAAATTTGATACCTTTCACAAAATTCCTGATGAATGGACTCATGAGTTGGTGCCTGGTGATTGTACAATAGTGTTGTCTGAGTTCTGTCGTGTGGAATAAGCGAAATATTGCCAATTGCCTGCTTGAAGTCTGCCATGATCAAGGTCATATGCGCCATTCCATGGGGGGTGCCATCCACCTTTGTTCAAAAACCTACAACTGACCAGAAAGTACCCAATTGCTAACCATAACATCACCTCCCGTCGTCGATCATTGGCCAGTAATAGCACAAGGCCATTTACGATTGTGACGTGGGCTTATTACTCGATGACAAATATTCAGGTAAGACTTGATTGTCATTCTACTGCTTAGCTTGGAGTAACTTGGAAGACAATCCTTCACGGTATTTTGAACCACCTGCCTTATGATATTAGGGCATATTAAACATTCCTTCGATGCAGCAGGCTTTGTTCGTTATTAAAGCAATAATTTTAAAATAAAAGTGAAACAACAACATAATGTAGTGTCATGCGAGGCCTTTCTACGGGGTCGTCACTGCCTGAGCAGAGACGGGGAGAGGGGAAGTAATTCCCCTGGACCCGGTGACAGAGGCGTGCACAGAGAAGAATTTTGCTGATGCTCGGTTTATTGGCGATGGCACATCCAGGACACAAAAGAAATGCCAAAAACACCCCCCCAACTATGTCCTCCTGAAAATAAGCTATGGGAATGGCCACCGAGGGCAGCACAGTTGTTTGGAATCTCTTTCTGCCGTTCACTTGGAACTTGGGACTCAGTTCAGAGCGCAGAGGAAAACGGGCCACAAAGAGAAAAAGATCGCCCTGCCTCTTCGGAAAGCTCCCAGTCTGCCAGACATGGCATGTGTGCGCGTCCTCTAAGCGCAGCACAGCGACATCGAATTAATGCACAGCAGCAAATACGTGTACACGCGATGCCAATATAGTAACAATTAGGCCACATATAATGTACTGTGTAGCTGGTTCTAACTTCTTAAGCCCTTCGCTCCGGGAGACGGCAAGAGCCGCGGCTTTGTGTGAGGATTAGTGCATACCACACATACAGTCTATTCACCATGCAGCTGCTGGTTCAGTGGGGCCTGCTGCTGGACAAAGCCCTTCATTCAGGGCATACCACAGCCCAGCAGTCGCTGTCAAAAGAATTCCCGGCGTGATGGGGTTAAGAGGAGTAATAAATATTAACAATAAGGACGAGCAACAAGGCAAAACCCACTAGTCTCCTTCCAAGGCTTAAGTCAAATCAGCACGTTTGATACCAGATTTGGAAAAGGTGATTCTCGGTCTCCCACAATAACAAAAAAAATGTGACCCACAAAAATGTATGGGACTTTGTTTCCATGGCAATGACCTACTATGGCTGTGGCTCTGGTTACTTGCTGCAAACAGAGACAATTTGCTAGCTAAGCTGGCCATTATGTGACCGTTATCCTGCTCATTTCTGCTGCATTGTCACCTCTACCGGCTGCGCCCTGCCTCTACTATATACGCTGAGGCTAATCAGGCATGAATAGGCCATTTATGAAGTCAACGGACCGTGAAGTTATCGGAATAAGAGCAGTCTATTTGCATGGCTAATTTATTTGTTTCTCTTGTCTACGTGATGATGGGATGGATGAGGGGCTATGGCTTAGATAAGGAAGAGGATTCATCGTAATGAGAATCTAACTTTTTTCCGACCGGATATTTTGCAGGTGATTTATGGCTTAGAAAAAACCTTGGTTTCATTTTGCCTACTTGTAATTTTTGTCAGTTTTTTTCATTTTGTGCATTTACAAATGTAGATTTGGGTATTCAGAGTGACTGCATGAGAATAATGGATTGGTATGCCGCTGTGTCTTTAAAATGGAAATTTTCCAAAATTCTCAAAAATTGAAGTCTGGTGTCTTCTGAGTTAACAATTTTTATTGTCATAGTTAGGACAATTGTACAATGCACCTCTGAAGACATATACACCTCACTGCGTATTATTCTGACAAATTAGCTCGATTTAAATGGGTTTGGGTAGAAAAGTCTTGAAATTAAATATGCATTACATCTAGATGAGGTCCATATTTAGAAGAAGAAAGAAAAATAATGCTTGTAGTGTAATGTACCTAGATGTAATCAAAAGTGGTATGTTGGGAACTCCATAGGAAATCTAGTGCCCCTGTAGGTAATTATTAATATGATACCAATGACTGTGTTTTCCAGTGACTGACATATAGATTCTGTGGTCAAGAACTTCTTTGGAATGTTGTATTATGACATTAATTATGGATGAAGACCATGGTACAGCAGCCTCCGTTCTCTAGTCAGCCAACCACCATTTGAGATATTGATCCGGTTGGCTGGCCAGCGTAGCAGCCCTTTTGTTGTACGCTGTCTTCCAGCCTCTCATTATACCAGGGAGACCTGGATGCGTTGTGCTAGCAAGCCGTCAAGGACAGACTTGGTAGCTATGAGAATGGACGGAATATTCATCTCCTGTGCCATTTAGGTCTTTTGTTCTCTGTTACAACGGCTTCTATGTGTGTGTGTGTGAGCATTTTGATGTTTTCTCTACCATCACTCCATGATGCCTATTTTGGTATCTTAAGAAATTGTAATCTGACAGATGGAAAGCAACAG